ACGATTCTTAGAAATTTTTTTTTTTTTTTTTTTTTTTTATAGGAGAAAATTTATTTCGTTTTTTTTTTTTTTTTTTTTTTTTTTCCCAAGTTTGCAAACCTGAAACGGGGGACATAAAACGCGGGGGTAAAGGATAAGAGTTTATTATAAAAAAAAAAAAAAAAATGAAAAAAAATTTTTTTAAGATATTTTTTTTTTATTTATCCTACGACAGCAAATTGCTCAACAACACACGCTTGCCAATATAAAAACTATTTGACGGTTGCGAAAATAAAATTTTTTTTGTTTTTATTTTTATTTTATTTTTTTTTGTTTAGCAAGCAAAATGTAATAATAATAATAATGATGAAGATAAATAAAATGTCCATGGATAATTTACCGAAAGATAAAAATAATTTTCTATCTCTCTCTCTCTCTCTGTCTGTCTGTTTTTTTTAAGCAACGACAGCAAATATTTTAATTTTTTAAAATGAGATAAAAAAAGGGAAAAAAAAGTAACGGAAAAAACAACGTCAAAGGGTTTGCATTTACTTTGCATTCGTACAAAATGATAAAAAAAAAAAAAAAAACATTCGAAACGATTTTTTGGCGACAAAAATAAAATTTGTCGCAAAACCGTCAAAACGCTCGCATTTATCTATCATTAACAACGACATAGGAATGATTTAACGGGGAGGGGGGGGGAACCAAACGATATATACACGCTAATGCGAAATTAATAATAATAATAATAATAATAATAATAATAATAATAATAATTTAAAGATGGAGGAGTACAAAGTGTTCTTTTTAATAAAGTCTCGACTAATATTCTCTAGACATAATTTTTTTTAAACTTCCGACAAAATTTAACTTTTTTTTGGACATAAGTCAAAATTCATTGAAAAAAACAAAAAACAAAAAAAGGGTGATCAAATGACGTAATGAAATGAATCCTTAAACTTCCTTTTTATTAACAAAGAAATAAAATAAAAGAATATGAAAACAAAAGTGTTAGCAACTTTTGAAAAAAACAAAAAAAAAAACATTTTGTTATCGTCTATCGAAAAAATTTTTGAATTTAACGGTTTCGAACACGAATCAATTATTATTGTTTTTCTTCGTTTGCAAAATAATAATAATAATAATAATTACGTTTGTTCTTAACGGATTTTTTCCCGACTTTTTTTTAATCTAATAACGTCAACGAAAAAGTTTCGCCATTTTGTTTTATAAATAAAATATTATTTAACATTTATAAGAAAAACAAAATGGCGGCGATCGTAGTAAAGACGTATAATGAATTACACTTTGCTGTTTTTCGTTTAATTTACATTTGAATAAAAAAAAAAAAAATGCAAAATATCGTGCGAAAAAGGGTCGGATAAAGGATTCTTTTTTTTTTTTTTGTTTAAACAAAAGAAAATCGTTATAAATAAATAAAAATCGGTGAATGAGGGGGAGGGGGGGGGTTTAATCGTTACACATTCACCGACTTTTACAATATTTTTTATAGGTGGACAGTGATGACGTAATGATAATTTCCCACGGACTAAGATGATGTTACATTTCCGTATGTATATATATATATATATATATATATATATATACTGATTGCTTTACATAATATTATAGTAAATAATAAAAGTCGTTTTGTAATAATAATAATAATAATAATATAACATATATAAATGCAAAAACGTTAAGTTAACTTACCCATATTGTGCTGGTAATACGGCTGGATATCCGGCTCTAATACCTGGAAACGGAAAACCTAAAAAAAAAAAGAGAGAGGAAAAATTAATATACTGTTATAATTTTACACGTGAAGAGAAAGAGAGAGTGAGAGTGGGAGAGAGAGAGAAAGGGCAACAACAGCAGACGATTTATAAATATCTTTTAGAATTCTATCAATGCAGAACCCAAAAATCTCAATGGAACTCATCCAAATTTTACTTTTTTTTTGTTTTTTTTTTTTTTTAAAAAGTTTGCACGTACATACAGCACAACAGCAATTCAAGGTGATGTGATATAAAATTTTTGTAAATTATATTGGAGTTTATCAATCATATAGAGAAAAATTTCATTGTTGGAGAGAGAGAGAGTGAGTAAGAGAGAGAGAGAGAATAGTTTTAAAATAATCTTAATGTAACGTATTTCCGCATTTGAAAAAAGAAATGGAATACACCCAAGAACAAAGAAAAATAAAAATAAAAAAAACCGGGAAGTGAAAAAT